GTCGGCGTTAGACGGAGCAAAGTAGAGACCTAACCTGGAGGCGGTGCGAGCGACAGTCAAATTTGCGATGGCGACAGGAAGATTGAGCCAGGAAGGAGTTTGAGAAGGAGAAAACAAATGACTACTAACAACAAACAGCCTCAAGTTGACAGACCATGCTTCAGCTGCTGAAGATAGGATGCTGAACACTTGGAGATAGTATTGGTTGGCCTTCAAGCAGGTGTGTCAAGCAGAGTCAAGCAAAGGGGGCTAGAAAAGTAAGAATAGGAAGAGCAGTAGGGCTTTCTTTTGTATAGAATGGATAAAAAGCGGGGAATACGTGAATAGCTTAGCGTAGCCACAGGCCCTATGAGGTCTGTTCTCCCGGGCGTAATAAATACTACTACTACATAGTGGTTGATAAGCTAGAAGTAGTCATGTTCGAGAATTTTAGTTAGTCGCATATAATGCCTAAGAGGTAAAGAATGATATTTAAACTTGTTCTATGCCGTACTGAACGAGGAACCTGCAGAGCCTGACTAAAATTTAGGCGCTCAGGCATCCATGCAGACGGAGTTGCGCATGGAGTTATCTTCTAACAAGCGGGGAAGGAGCTTAATTTTGTTACCATTTAGCTGCGACCCTTGAGTGCTGCGTAATACTTCAGACATTTATTTCTCAGTTTCCAAACCATCCAATATGGACCCGGCCGTGATAGCGGAATTGGATGATCAGATAATTTATCAGGCGACAAAGGACATATTTATTGGTCAGAAGGCCAAATTCAGAAAGCTTGGGCCTGTAAAGAAATCAATTGGGAGCCATCTACGGAAGGGCAGTCTAGTCCAGCAACTTGTGACTCAGTATGGCGCCGACGCCATACACCAGCCAGTATTGAAGCTCCTTTCGGATAGGGTTTACGAATCAACCTCGATTGCAAGTGAGCGTTTTCCGGACCTGTTCGAGCCTTCTACAGCCCAGACCGCAGCAAGGAGTTTACTGGAAGCAGAAGCTACCAGGAGTGAACAAGCTGCGCTGGAAGGTATTATCCAAACTCAATGGGCTAGCAGTCAAGGGACCCTCGACTGTACAGGAATCACAACAATGGCATTAGATGGTACGTCATTATGATCTCCATGATTACTTATCCTATCTGAATTTATGTCCAGACATTAATAACAATATTACGGAAAGCGAAACTGGTGACTTATCGCTGTTTCCTGTATATTTGCCGTTCCCTATCGAGCACATGCTTATGGAGAAACTGCAAAAGACATTAGAACTTGCTTGTTTTGACTTTGGAACGAGAGCTCTCCCGGATATTATGCGAAAACGCGGTTGGGAATGTCCTGAATCGGTCGAACTCAATAGATGGGCCGAGCTCTTCGGACGTGAGGGGAGTATGAGAGGCAAGATCGATAAAGATCTCCCGAAAGAACTACTGCGTTCGATTGCATCCATCAGACATACAGCTGTTCATCGCCTGCGCACTAACTCAGCAGGGCTAGAACGGTTTCTTACTGATGCCGAACGGCTTGCCGGAATTCTAGGGGATACCGTATATGCAAAAGCCATCTCGCACCTACGTTCAGATGCTCAGTCAGCATTTATGGAGCTTACACAAAATAAACAGTTTATACAACTGCAACTTGAACATTCTCAGGAAGAAATAGCCAAGAAGCGCGCTGAACTCGACCAGGAGGAGCAGGAGGTTCTACGCTGTATCGCAAAAGAGGACGAGAAGTACCGAATGTTGGCGGGTGATAGGCTACAAAATGCTCTCGAGCGTATGGAAGACAAGAAAATAGCAGTGGATAGGGAGGATGCGGTCTTCGATGGTATTAATGGTATCGAGACGAACATTTTCTATGCTGATGACAGCGATGTCGATTATGCAGACCAGTTCGAAGATTGCGACGAAACATGGATTCCTTAGTATTTCCTTCACTACAGCTACAAATGCAATGCGGAGCATATATAACATTCGTGGCCAGGGAAATACCAAAGGTCGTGCGTTGTGGCTAGTTCTGGGGTAACGGAGGATGTACCCCGAACGCAAAGCAAGGAATCTGAGAACTGTTCCGCAAAGCTGCAATCAAGGCTGGCTTGGAATGTCTTTTCAAGAAGAAGCTTTGCTGGCGAGAGAAGAAGGTCACATAGGGCGAGGAAGTTGTGGATCGCCAGTGTTAAGAATCAAGATGAGATCTAAGTACCCAGCTTTATTTAACTGTGTACGATAGATGTGAGGAACTTGGAAAAGAGCAGAGAGAAAGCCAGACACAACGACATATTGCATACGCGAAACCATGTCTCGGAAGCTTGTATTACTCCGATTTGCATGGCTTCTGAAAATTGTTTATCCCTACCCGTCCAACGGGAGATGACCCCGGCCCAGCCAATTCAATTGGCTACAGCATGAGACATATGATGTTATCATTATCTACCGTTAGCAGCCAAGTCTATCCCTCCCTCATTAACCCTCTTCACCGCTCTTCAAGCCATACTTCCGTCTACTGCAACCCGACCAATATATAACGATAATGACATCTGATGCACCAGCTGTAGATATGTGTCAATGCACGAAGGCAAAGGGTGACTATGAGATCGAAGGCGAGCTTGGTGCAACAGTAATCTGTTCTGATTGCCATCTTGAGGAGTCAACGTTCCCGGAGCCCGGCAATGCCGAACAGCCAGGCCTGATCAGTGAAAAGGACGTCTATGTCGCTTTCACAGGATCGTCCGCATTGCTGAAAATCGCAGAGAAACATCCAAATGATCAGTCGATCAGAAGGCAGTGAGAAAGCGAGAGAGAGGCCATCAGGGAGTCAAAGACCTGATTCGCAATTACGGCATTTCAAGTGTAGTGGCCGCTATCAGGGTTTTGCTGGACGATAATGTCTTCACATGCACCGAATCAGCAAGTCGTCAATTTCCGAACCTCTTTCCAAAAGAGCAAATATTAAACTGTGAAGAAGGGCAAGAGACAGCAGCTGGAGACTCGTCTACGAAGGAGATCGAGCCGCTCGATGGTGAATGCAACCACCCAAACGAGACAGCTGAGGGCTTTGGAGGCAATCGTACCTTTCTCAGCGTAGATGGGCATGCGATATACTAACCAATGCATCACACTCCTTACAGAAAGTGGGTTACAGAATAGTCAACATGGCCAAACTCTCCAAGATTGCCGACTTCTTGCCTCTCTTCCTATTAGGCCACGCCAAAGACTGATGCCGCAGCTCCAGCTAATACTAGAGCATGCATGTTTCGCATTTGGACAGCGAACAATGCAAAAAGATATGAATGGCTGGGGTTGGACCTGCGCTGAGGCAGTTCCTTTACAGAGGTGGATAGACTTATTCAAGCACAACAGGACATCTGAAACTGAAAGCAGTACTGAAAAGCGCTCTGCCCTACTTGACTCGGTGGCAAGAATTCAAGACATAGCCATCCAACGACTCAGCGTTGACTTGGCCGGAGCTATAAATCTATTGTCAGCTGCGGAAGAGTTTGTCCGGCTTCTCGGGACTCCAATGTACCAGAGCGCCATCATGCCACTCCAGCAGCAAATGAAGAGGGGAATCCTCACGGCAAACCGAAGCAGTGCCTCTATCGAAAAGGAAGCCGATAGGAAGTTTGCGGAGATTGAGGCCGAGAGAGAAAAGTTGAAACGCCAAGAGGAGGAAATTAAATGGTATCAAAACAAGAACCTGAGCGATATCCAAGATTCTCTAGAGCATGACATATTTGCAGCAATGGCACAAGCCAGGGAGGCTTTACCAGATATTGGGCTCGTAGATCACAGGTGAATGGGTTGATGAGGGTCAGTACAGGGTATGAGATGGCAGTTAGAGACACGAACGCAGTGTTGCTGAGAGGAAAATAGACAACAAACTAAATGTATCAGAACCGTGCTACCTATGTATTAAAAGCAGCTGGCGCAACTGCTCCGTGAAAATCAGTAGTTGGACTATAAAGGAGCGCAGCTTTCCCGATTAACACCTCTATCCTAATGGCACATGACTGAATGTCTCGGAATGTACGAGTTATTCCGTATTGCGGGTGTCTTTCGGCCTATTGGCT